GTCCATTTTTACAGATGAGAAAACTAAGGTACAGAAAGGTTCCCAGGTTTATTTAAAGGGTGAAGTTAGTGAGTGGTAAACCAGGGTAGATGCTGTTCACTTCTGTGCTCCTTGTTCATTTCTACCACTGGCTCTGTGCAATATGGAACCTGAAAACACAGGCAGAGAAAGAAATTGTTGCTACTGAGAATGGCCAACCCCAGCCTCAAACCTGCCCCAGTGACTTCCCATGACATATAAGTACCTATATATTGGGGCTGCAGTGGCACCTGGTTCTGCCCACCTAGCCCACCTAGCCAACCCCTCGCAGATACTAGAATCAGGCAGCAATTAGAATGCAATTTTGTCCTCACAGAGCTTCTATAAAAAGTCAAGCTTCTAACACCTCAGCCAGCATGTGGGCAGTGAGCAACATGCTAGTCTTTTGTTTATTATTATTAAAGAGTTGATATTATTAAGTAAATAATAACACTTATTACTGATGCATTCATTATGTATTTTAACTAAGACAGCAGTGAGGTGGCTGACTGAGGTAAGAATCAGTCAGACTGTGCAGATGCCGAGACACAGATCTAGAGTTTCCAGAATTTCTCTTGATGAGACACCATGGGCCTCACATACTGGAGGGAACAAAGGGCTGGGTAAGGGATGGACTGGAGGCAAGAAGGCCCCTACTGGTGGCAAGAAAAATGATTTTTTAGGTAACGAGGGAAGAGCAGCTACTTCTGCTTCCACAGATGAATAAACCCTAAAAGCTAAACAAGAATATATTTAACAAAAGGTAGCATACCCAACTGGCAGCTGAAGCCATAATGGCCACCACTTGCACTGTGTTCTAGCAATCCCAGCGACAATTCTCTCTTCCAATAAAAGGAGTGTCATTTTAAAGACGGGGCTGCTGGAGAAAAGGAAGGTGACAGAACTTTCAAAATTCCATAAAGGAAATGGTATTTCCAACAAGTTTGTGGGACACTAAGCTCCATCCTGTTTTAAAATTGCTGTACTGTCTCTCTGATGCCTTGTCCTTGACTGGGATATACAAATTTTCAAGCACTTATCAGGAATCTTCTCGATTTTTCTTCATCAAAGGTGAGAAGGTTTTGCCCTATTCACACGTCAAGACACCTACCTTCTGTGCCCCTCAAGTCAAGATCCCACGTCAGTCACCTGACACTCTCTGCCCAGGTTACTCCCGCCACCGGCAGCACATATATGCACCTGCTCACACAGATCACCTGCCAGCTGGTGGATACAATTTGGAAGCTGGTTGCTACTTTTCCAGAATCTCAGCCAAGTGTCTGCCACCCTCCTCTCTCAAGCTTGGAAAACCTTTCTTTCCCCTTTCTGCTTTGTTTCCCTTTTTAGATTTTATTTGGGACACAGAGAAAGAGTCATTTCAGAATTGCCAAAGATAGTTTCCATGGTTCTACCAACCCAAACACTAAAACTGAGATTCGGGCTAGAAGCAAGCGTGTGGCTTCCATGCGGGAAATGGTTCTACTCCATCAAGTCTCCAAAGAGTTCCTGCTCCTTAAGTGAAAGACACTGCAGTAGATGGCATTTCCATACCACACACACTTCTGAGGAAACTATTCTACAACTGCCTTGGGATTTTGCAAACACCATGTAAGAAGGAAAGTTATATATTAACCAGCTATATCCCCAGTACATCTCTCTTTATCCCAAAGGGATTGATTAAAATTTGCTGACAGCTTTAAACTCTATCAGGGAATAGCCAGAATAGCTCGAGTTGAGTAATTAACAAAGTTTTAAAAACTAGAGAGAAATTCAGACACTTTTAAACTTATGTCAATTTGTTGGTTAATTATAAAATTCCAATTTCATCACCTTCCCCACTCCCAATATGATTTGGCAGGCGAAACAAAAGGGTTGGCAGTAAATAGATGTGAATTTTAAATGCAGTCGATTGCTACCTTGTTGGTATAATGTTAACTAAAATTCACTAATTCAACACATGTATTGAATGCTAACTGGACCAGGCAGAGCTCTGAGGCTGGGGTCGATAACTTAAAAACTAGCGAATGAGAAAGATATTGACTAAATAATTACATTATAAGTGAATAATCAGAAACTCAGAAAAGAATGTCAGGTGAGATGGCATGCCTGAATGGCAGATTAGAGTGAAACAGTGGTACCCACTCCACTCTGTGGGGTCAGGGGGCGCTGCCCTGGGAAATGACATCTGAGTTAAGATCTGAGGTTACCAAGTGTTTTTTTTTTCAGTTTCTTAGTATCCTCACCTTTCTCATCAAACTACAGAAAAAGACTGAAATCTCATCCTCTCTGTGCTGGATGTAAGCACCCTCTCTTCCAATGAGGTGCTGGGCCTCGTCTCTCCTCTTGACACTCTTGGTTTGGACCATTTTACTTCAGCAACTTCATAAAAACTTCTTGACACTCACACATGTATACCAATCATTTCTAAGAGCTAAACACATCTGTCCTTGGTTGCCCTCTCAGCACCTCTATCTTCACCCCCAAACTTAGTCTTCTTCTTCACATTCATCTTTTTGCTAACAACAGCACTGGATTTCTGTCAGGTGATGCACGTCACTCTGCAAACGAAAAGTCCTCAGCTGTTCATTCACCACAGAAGGAACTACCTCTTTTGCAGATGACATATAAGATACCTCATACTTTATCACAGCTGATCTTTGTTCATCCAGACTAGACACCCCCAATTCAACATCATGAATTACTTAAGGTTTCCTGAACCTGCTACCATGTGCTCTCACAAGTGTGATTTTATACAAGCTGTTCTTTAGTTCAAAATGCTTTCTTCATCTAGTCTCCTAGGTGAATGCATTCAACCTTTAAGACCTTCTTTAAACGTCACCTCCTCTGTGAAGCCGACCCAGATTTTCTCAGAGAACCACATCCTCTCTAGTTCCGATACCTCCTTCATGCATATGTTAACTTCATGCATATGCTACATACATCCTACATTTATCCTAGGTCACTAGTATTAACTGTACATGACTATATCCTCTAGCTTGTGAATACCCCAAAGGCAATAGCCTTGGATAATTCATATTGTATTCCCTTTGGTATGAAACAGGAAGTAAATATTCATTGAATGCAGGAATAATGAAGTAATGAATAGACCAATCTTGTGACATGTGCTGCTTTCTACCTTGCATTATACCATTGCTTTGGTAGCTCAGCTCCCTTCCAGGATTGACAAATCTTCTAGAGCCAAAACAAGGAGACCCATTTCTGCCTACCCTACCAGTCTACCTTAATGCCTATCATTTGAATAAATGAATAAAACTCTTGTAGGACTTGTGTTAAATGTCAGACCTTGTAAAGCTATTTTCACATATGGTGTTTCATTTGCCTCTCCCACTGACCCTGTAATCTAGTTAGGATGAATTGGTGTTATCCTCATGTAACAGGTAAAGCAACTAAATAAGACTCTGTACCCCTATATCCTTGGGTTTTTGGAACAATGCCTATTCCATGTAACGTTCTTGACAAAAGACAGACCTACTCATCAGTTCTTTGTTTTGAAAGTTTGAGGTTAAATATAGAGCTTTACCACTGCTTGCTAAATAGCTAAATCCTCATCTACCCTTCCCAGATGAATTTAGCATGAATAATTTCAGTGCGTTTGGGATATGAATCGGAATGGGAAAAAATAAGGGGAAAACTGAAGGATCAGAACCCATGAGACCTATTTTGGGCAATAAAAGGGCTTTGGGGCCCTGGAAAGAGAAACTTCTGCTTTCATAAGATGGGGTACTGTAGGCAGCATCAAGAAGGACTTACTAATAGTCTCCAAAACACAAAAATAGATATGCTTTTAAGTACAAGTTCCTCTAGGAGAGAAGATGTCACAAATACTGAAAGAAAACGGAATGCCTGTCACCCTCACTCCCGTCCACATGGGCAGAGTGGTATGATCTGACCCAAAGGTAAGAAGGCTGGCTTGAGGGAACCTTCAGCACAGGACCAGGGGTTGCCCCAACATCCAACACCCTGATTTCCTCACCGGGCCCAGGAGAGTAGGGGCACCCCTGCTCATCTCAGGGGGAACAGGCTGAGTCATACATAAGGCCAGTCTTAGACAACACATTCATGGACACTGGCGGTTCCTAATTATTGCTCAAACCCTACGAGGACCCTGACATTTGGCCAGAGCAACCTCAGGGGTCCATAGGACTGGGGGCTCTGTAAGCATTAGTTACACCCCTGAGCCCAGCCCACAGGATCAGCTCAGCTTGACCCTCCTAAGAAGTGAACTTCCCCATGCCTCTTTCTCCTTCGTGTGCCTGGCTTTGTGGAGAGGGAAGTCTCTGTCCCCATCCTGCCAAATATGGGCTGCGTCAGACAGCCGAGTTTCTCCACCCTAACTTTGCTGGGTGACGTGGCTACCCTGTACTGGGGTGGAGAAGGCCCTTCAACCCCACGCAGACCTATGGCAACCACAGGACCGCAGAGAAACAGAATCAGAAGGGTCTTTGGCAATGGATGGTCCAGGTCCAGGGATCCAACCCCTTCCTTTAGTACCCGGAGCTGTTCCAGATCCTTTTCCTGGTGCCAGCATAACATTTTGGTATCTAGCCAGCTCCAAGCAAGTGTCCAGGTCAAGCAGGCGAAAACAGCTGACATTTGCCTGGGGCAAACTACTGACTTTTACGCCGTTCCACAGGAGTCCCTAGCCTCTCGTTCCCTTTCCCCTTGCTCCGAAAATTCCAGCAAGCACCAGGCTGGCAGCCTTCCGGGGAGAAGTTCAAAATCTGACCCATGCCCTTCGATAGACATCCAGCCCCGCTTCTGTCCAGGGGCGCATCAAATCCTTTCCCGATGGGAGGGCTCCATGTGCCGCACTCGGGATCCGCTAGATTCCCGGGAGTGCACGGAGAGCCTCGGGGCTCCAGGAAGCAACCCCCGCCCCACCGCTGCCCCGCGCGCCTCCCCAAGGGCAGCCACCTGTCTCAGCGCTCGAGGAGAAAGGAGGGCGCGCAACCACCACTGACCTGAGATGCCGCCCCCCACCACGACCACGTCATATTTGTTGCTCATGGCGGCTTTCCTGTCGCGAAGAGGCTGGCGGCCCGCTGCTCCGGTCTCCGGTCTCGCCCCCGCCCGCCGCGCGGCCCCAGCGCACCAGCACCTCGGCGGAGCCGCTATATTGCCCGCCCAGGGCGCCCCGCGCGGAGCCCCGCCTGCTGCCGACGCGCCGGCCGGGTGGAGCGTTGGGCCCCCGCCCCCGCCCGCAGCCTGCAACCCAGACCTGGGGGGTGGGCGCCGGGCCGCAGAGTTCTCCTGGGGCCGCTGAGAGTCGGTCCCAGGGGCAGGACCCCCTTGCTCCTTCTGGGCATTTCCCCAGGCTGCCCTCCCCGTCGGAGTCACTACCCAGACTACCCTCTTTCCCCTTCAGAGCTATTGAACACGGGGGCTGAAAGCATGGCGGGCTGAAAGCATGGCGGGCTGAGGTAGCTTCCTCCGTACCCCAGTTTTTCCAGTAGGAAGCAGTCTAGCGAGTAGCCAACATTAGTGAGTTTTCCAGATACCAGATACCACACTAAGTGCTTTCTGTGCGTGATTCCAGTTCAGCCATACAACGATCCATTTTACAGATGCCAAAAGCGAGTCTTTGGTGAGAGGCGAAGGTAAGATAAAAAGTCCTGAATGAAAAACAATAATCTGGAAGATTCCAAGACCCGCTTTGACCCACCACACAGTATTGCCATTATCCATTATCAGGGCATACACTTAAGTGGGATTCCCAGCCCAGTTCGGCCTCCTTGCAAATACCCATTTCTTTCTCCGCCCCTGCCCTTAGGCCTGCAGTTAACTCGAGCAGTGTTTACTTAGTATTGCAAATGCGGCACCTAAAGATAATCTTAAATAGCTTCAGTTTTCAAGTGCTCAAAATAGCCAAGGGCTTCTAGAACACCCTAGTGAGGAGGAGCTGGAGCAAGAACCCAGGGAATCTGTGGTGGCAGAGGTAAGACCTTGATAGGCAGGTTGGAATCCAGAGCAGCCCTGAAACAGCAAGAGGAGTTATTTAAGGCCCTGGGGAGTGAAATCAGGGACATAGGCTTTACCAAAACACAGGGGTGATTCAACAAGTTAAGGAGTATTTAAGCTGAGGTGACTCCAAGTAAAACAGCTGTGTTTCTTCAGAGCACTCAAAAATCCACTTCTGGGAACTGAAAGTGAAAAGAAGCAATGTAGGGTGGCTTTTCAGGAAATAATTGTGTGAAATACTTCTTTTCAACCTAGGGAAGCTGCAGCACTGCTGCCAGCACCACTACAAGCCTAGAGAAAACCACCTCATCCACTCCCTCTCTGTGTGTCATTTACCACCAAAGTACCCTGAGTTTCTGATGCCCTCAGACTAGAAGAGAGTTTGGACATGCTTGTGCCTCAGAAGTTACTCTTGGCAAGGAAAGTCTTAATTCATAGATGCCATGGATTCTAGAAACTTCCATTCCTCCTAAAGTGGCCCCTGGGTCTGAACCTTGAACCTCTGTCCCCACTGCTTTACCCTGCAGTCAGCATAGGCCTCCTGCCTGCAAAGCTCTACCTACTACGTCTATTGGAAGGACCCCGGATCTGTGGGCTTCCAGCTGTGCACACTGTCCCCTCATCTAGCCTGCAAGTAAAACTCATGTCTGGTATGTGGGATGGGATGAGTAGACTGGATCTTTGTGATAGGGCCTAAGGAGGGGGAGGTGGTTGGGTAAGACACTGTATGGGATAGTAGGAAATCTGCACACACATATTGCTTATGGCCTGTCTGCTCTGAGTTAATTTTTCAGCCTAAGGACACGTCTGCAGCCAGTGCTATCTGAAGACTAGTCTCAGCACACAGGGATGTGCTTGAGACCAGGTGTCCAGGAGGGCAACAAGGAGCTCCAGAGGCTGGACATCACGAGTTCCTGGCAGTGGTAAAGGCCGCTTACTGCTGAACAGTCTTTGCTCATCTCACTATCAAGAGCCAGCTGGAAATAAAATGTTAAGTTGGTTTCTTTAGGGTGCTAACTCCCCATCTTCCGGATTGCCAGCTGTCTGATAAAAGTGCTTTTTTTTTAAAGATTTATTTATACATACATACAGAACTGGAGTACAGGCCAGAGGGATGGTGAGAGGATTCACCAGAGACAGAGTGGGGAGCAGAACACACAGACTGACTGACGTACACTGCTGAGGGGAGCAGCAGGCCGGTCAGGAGAGGTCTGCCAGGCCATGTGGTCACCTCTGGGGCTGAGAATCGAACTTGCACTGAAGCAACTGCAGCTAGCTTACAGTGCTGCACTCTAACCCGTTGTGCCACCAGGGAGGGCCTCTCTTCTTAAAGATTCAATTCGTAGCTCTACATTATTTGGCATTTGGTGGTGACAGGTGGCTTGATCTCCAATCTTGTGGTTACAGTGTCACTACGTGTAATACCCTCTAGGACTGTCCATGTTGTTACAAATGGCAGAATCTTTCTTTTTATGGCCAAACAGCATTCCACTGTGTATACAGGACAGCACATTTTCTATATGCACTCATCAATTGATGTACATTTAATTTGTTTCTGGTTCTCGGCAATAAAGAAGTGAACATGCCCACAAATTACCCAGGTCGGGGATGAGGTGTGAGAAGCTGTATTTCTAACAAGCTCTGAGGGATGCCATTGCTGCTGGCCTCAGAACCATCTCCCTTATACACATTCTCTTCTACTCCGGGCCTCTGCTCCCCTGTAACTTTTGAAACCAGCTCCATCTCCAGGGCCCCTGACCTATCTCAAGGGCATTCCAACAAGAAGGCACTTGTCATTTTACAAGCATAGATGAGCATCTGCTAGCCCTGGGGAAGAGGTGAGCCATACAGACACTGACCTTGCCTCTTGGTGCTCACACTCCATCAGGGACTGTGTCAAAAAGGCCAGACACCCTACCTCAAGCAATCACAGAGGACTGCCAAGAAGAAACGACTTTTCTACTAGGACTTGAAGGATGATAAATCGAAGATTCTCAACTATGAGGAAGATGAGAACGCTAAACATATTTTGGCGGCAAGGTGGAGATTGCGCACTGGAAAAACTAGACACCATTCAGTGTACAAAAATAATAGGGCCACCTTTAGGCCCTATTATAAACAGTGCAAACTAATAGTGATTAATAACAGTGAAAAAATGGAATAAATTGGCTTGGAAGTATTTATTATTGTATGTGTTTGTGTCTTTTCTTCCCAAGTAGCTAATTAATTCATGCAGGAAGGAATCATGTGTTATCTTGTCTTCACTCATTCAAGAATGATGTATTGAGCATCCCCTCTTGATAAGAACTATGTTCATTGTGGGAAAAATAAGAAATAATGCCAATCTCACAAAAATCAAATATGAAATGAGACAATTACACGTACCTGACTCAGTTTCCAACGAGGCAATGCTCAGAGCCTCTCACCCAGAAGCACAGAGGGATGCTGATGCCTCCACACTGTTTATTTGCCTTTCCGACTTGATGAAATTCATGTTTCTTTCATCAATTAAAATGAACTCACTTTCCTTTCATTTTTTATTAGAAGACTGCCAGAGAGATAGAAATGGCCTTATTACTTCTTTCTTGCTGTCCAGTTTTCATTAACAGATATTCCAGTGAGTCTCATATGATGCCACAGGAGGTTTCAATAAAGAGATGGCCTGTGCAGAACAGACTTCACCAGATGTTATCTAAGTTGTACCTTTGCTTTTTTTTTTTTGTTTCCTTCACTGCTGGAAGCTTGACAAGGAATGGGAAATTTGTTTTAAATTAGATTCTTTACAGCTTACCATTTTCTTTTAACCAACTTCTCTCTAAATCTTTTTTTAAATATACACTGGGGATCAAATGATGAAAGAGTCATCAATTGCAACCACAGCAGCTCTTTAACACTGGGAAATTGAAGTGTTATAGGGCCTCTCGTTTCCCCAGTGAAACATCCATCATCATTTTCAGTCCTAATTTCAGAGTGTCCAAATCCCCAACTGTGACACAACGAGATGGAGTACGGCAGACTTTCACTGGGCCAGTACGTTGCTTTTGGCCACAAGGACTTGCTGAGAGGGAATCATAGCCTCAAGCAGCCCAAGAATTGGGAGTACCCAGTTTCAATCCAAGTCAAAGCCTTTTACAAGACATTGGACCAGGGGCTCATGATTCAATTCCAAATGTCTGGAGGCTGTTTTAAGATGCAAAGGAAAGAACAATCCCAGGGCCATGGGACTACTCAGGATCCAGAGCAAAGTAAAATTGACAGGGGAGAGCCAGATGACAGGTGGGTGTTCACAACTAAAAGGTGACAGCAAAGTGGATTATGCTGAGCTGATTGATATATATATATGTACATATATACGTTAAGGGACAGATATATATATATATCAGGAAATAGATATATAGATATATCTATATATATATAGATCAGGAAAGATCTATTTCTGCCCAGAGAACCAGAGTGTGACTTTTTCTCCTATGATCTAATTAGCGTAGCACAAGCAGGACAGGGAAAAAGAGGCGTAATACAGAACATATGAACTCAGTCAGACAAGCCAAACTACTAAACGTCAGAAGTATAGAGGTCAAGCTTGACATGTTAAAGAGCACGATGAAGAAAAGGAAAACCTTATTTGAAACAAGTGTGAAGCAAGCCATCCCTAAAGTGAGTGTTTTACAATGACTGATGTTAAGACAAGGACTGTTTCTACAAATCATAGTAAGAGTTGCTAAATAAGACGTGTTGTATTAGAACAGATGATGTCATAAGGACACTTCAGGACACATAGAAGGGTAAACAGAAAATATTCATCCGAGGAAGAAATGAAAATCAGAACAGACATTTTCTAAGAATACCAAGTTAAAGGTTCTCAACATTTCTTTTGGGAAAATAAAATTAAAAATGAAATATTAGGCCTTCCCTGGTGGTGCAGTGAGTTAAAGCACAGCACTAAGAAGCTAAAGCCACTTCAGCATGAGTTCCATCCCCAGCCCCAGAGGTGATCCACATGGCACAACAGACCTCTCCTGTCTCACCAGCTGCTCCCCTCAGCAGCGTACTTGGTTGATCTGCCTGTTCTGCTCCCCACTCGGGCAGAAGCAATCCCTCCATTAGGATTTCCT